TACACGAGGCATGTCGTACACGAGACATGTCGTATACGAGGCATGTCGTATACGAGACATGTCGTACACGAGGCATGTCGTATACGAGGCATGTCGTACACGAGGCATGTCGTACACGAGGCATGTCGTACACGAGGCATGTCGTACACGAGACATGTTGTACACGAGGCATGTCTTACACGAGGCATGTCGTATACGAGGCATGTCGTATACGAGGCATGTCGTATACGAGACATGTCGTACACGAGGCATGTCGTATACGAGACATGTCGTACACGAGGCATGTCGTACACGAGACATGTCGTACACGAGGCATGTCGTACACGAGGCATGTCATACACGCAGGAATGGTGCATACACCTCCCACACTTCCCTCAATGCACGAGCAACTCAACCAACATTCCTCGTATATTTCCATCCCGAGTGCATGGTCAAATAGTCTATGGCTGCCTCAGCGGCCTATACTTCTTATTTATGTCAGGTTATTTTATGTCAGTGTTGAACCACAGTCCTGCTGATACTGATGAATGCTCTTCTTCTTATACATTGCAATGTTATTTCTATCAGAACCATCAACGTACAGACCGTCGTACAGCACAAGAGCACTGGAAATATGCAGAAAATAAATTAATATACTGTAAATAAATAAAAAGCAAAATTCCCCCAATTTGACAAACTACTTCAATAAAATCTTTCATAAGTACTAACGAATTCATTGATTATAGTGAAATATTTATCGGGACCAGAGACAGGCGATAGAGCGGCAGCTCTTTTCTCACAACCCCACAGCACCTCAGCACCACAACCCCACAGCACCACAACCCCACAGCACCACAGCCCCACAGCACCACAGCCCCACAGCACCACAGCCCCTCAGCACCTCAGCCCCTCATCAGTGGGGAGGTCAGCACCTCGCACGCTACCCCCAGAGCAGTGCTGCGTGCAAGGCTCCAACACCGCAGCAACTCTGCAGACATTCATCACACCGACGCCTCCTGCCCCACCACCTGCTCCACCACCTGCCCCACCACCTGCCCCACCACCACCGGCAGTTGATAGAGATGTAGAATTTGTTGATAATTATCGCTAATGGCGGCGCTGCAAGTAAGTGATCTACCGCGGCCCAGGATTGCCGCTTGCAGGCCACAATCTCGGTGTTGCTCCGCTGATTGCATCGCCAATCATCAATTAGGTGCAAGGGAACGATGGCTGGAGCCGTGCTAAACTTTATCATTGTCGGGTATCGTCGATTGATCAGTGTACATGAAACTTCATTTATCTTACGGGTGTCAATATGTTGATCATTTGTTCGGTATGTTGCAGGGCTTTAAGCATCGTATTATTGTTTAGTCTCTTCATGAAGAGTGTGATGTGGGCTGTCTTGCACAGCACACATCACTCTCAGCACGCAGCAGTGCTGTCTTGCACAGCACACATCACTCTCAGCACGCAGCAGTGCTGTCTTGCACATACGCTGCAGTGCTGTCTTGCACAGCACACATCATAGTCAGCACGCAGCAGTGCTGTCTTGCACAGCACACATCATAGTCAACATCATACCTGGTCGCTACGCTCCTGAACGCCGTATATTTCCTTCATGGTTCCAAATAGCCATTGATGTTCATGGCTCCAGCACCTGTAATGTCAGGTAAGCCAAATTCCAACCAGGGCGCATGTCCGTCTCTTATTGTTCTGTTTACTATCAGAATATATATCACTCAAGTCGCTATACTGTAAAAGTTCACTACGACAGGTGCAAGAAAATTCTGTTAAAAGAATACTACTGCTACATAATGCCTAGGAGAACTATATATGCCGTGAATTAATGCATCGAATAGTTCCTGAAATGCTTTTAATATAACTCGCCGCCTGCCTGCTACGTCTGCGAGGCCGTTAAACAAGCAATGGAACATAGAGTGTCGGCCTCTGATCCTCTGTGGCGTCTCCGAATCTCGCATCAACGTTCATCAGCTCGCCCGTTTGCTGCAACACGGCCTGAAAGATCGCGCCTACGCAGATCTCTTGATTGATCTCAACTGATTGATCATGAGTGATTGATCACGAATGATTGATCCAATGCGATTTATCTTGGCGGACTTAAGACACTCTGAAGAACCGTGGCCGCGAGTCAAGAGCGCCACGGCGCCTTAGCCGCACTCAACGCGTCCTTGGCAAAGATGATCTAAAAGTTGTTACAGCGTCCTAAATTCATCAGCCAATCAACAATCAGCGTTCTAATCCTGCCGGTCAATCTAAATTGATCTCCAATAAATGATTTAAGTGAAGATACGACCACCGCCATTTGAAGAGAATTCGTGAGTCTCTCTTAAATCCCGCATGAAATTTATACGCCGGTGTTAACTGCTTAATTTTACGATGTTGCATCTGTTTTACACGAAATAATATCAGGTTTCGTCAGCCAAACTCAGACCGCCTGAGTTTATTCCCGATCTGTGGAGAACTGCGATCGGATTTAGTTCGCTGGTAAGCCTGTCCTTTTGCAGCTCGTCCGCGAGCTATCGCATTGCGATGCACGACCGCCGAGACATCCGTTTGTTACAATCAAATTTACTAGTTATAAGTATATATGAGATATATGAGCTTAATTTATTGCCTTTACTTTTAGACTTTATTATTTTTAGAGAAGAAATCCGTTTCAGTGAAAACCATGACCAGTTTGGATATTAAGCTCGCCAACTTCCCGCAAAATTTTGCAATTTTGATTAAACAAATTTTTATTTTTCAATAATATTATGAAAATATATAATTTCTTATGGGATTTTCATAGGATTTCCTCCGCTTGTGAGACATTCTTTTATTTGAGGATGAAAACAAAATTTTGCTTTAGTATCAGCTAAAAAACGAGTTGTTAGGCAACCTTAGAACGTTTAGAATTGTGGCAACAGCTACGCGCTGAAGTGCATTTAGAGATCGGCCATCGAAGGGGACTTCACTCACGGCTCTGAAGTGTTGCATAGAGATCGGTCAACGAAGGGCACTCCTCTACGACACGGCGCTGAAGTGCAGCAGAGATCGGCCGTCGAAGGGGACTTCTCTATACGTCACGGTGCCG